AAAGAAACCATCGATCTGATGGATTGAATGCATCTTTACAACCTTGTCAGAATCAATCTTTTTCGTGAACTCTTCACGCATGAACATAATTGCTTCCTCTAAAGACAAACCGATTGCTTTCAAGAAAAGACCATACTGCCTGAAAAGCTGAAGACCGTTTGAAGATTCATGTGACCCGAAAAAGAACCACAATGTCTTACCGCCTTGCTCCATGTCTCAAATGATGATCAGCCCGTAACCGAGTATGACATTGCCGCATGCACAGTGGGAAAGACGGTACACATAACTGAAGAAAAGTGCAGCAGATGGTGAGCCGATATAGATTAACATTCATATTTGATACCTGGTCAATCATGTGCCGAGTTATTTTCCCATCGTTCTCCTTCCCAGCATACTGCTTCCCGCTGTAGGCGTTATTAGCCAAGCGCGCAAGTCTCGGAAGAAGTCGCCATTCCTCTTCTACAACTGCCAGATGCTTGAACGCCCTCTGTAAAATAAGGATTTTCACCTATAGGATTTGAACTTGACAATGCCTGTAACATATGGCTTCTCCTGTTCGTCCGCTGTGAATGGGTTTCTTTTAGCTCTTATTCATGAATTAGATCAAATTGAAGGTTCACTATGTCTGGCGAAGATCTTACATCAGAAGAGCAAGCCATAAGCTGTTCAGCTTATAATCGTGCTATTTCTTGTCATCTGTCAAATACCTACTGCAAAACATTTCTTTTCAACTTTCCAAATCTATCTGGTGAGTACAAAGGTGTATCAACAAGTTTGACCAGGCCATCGATTGACAACGTATACTATCTACTGGACAGGTCCATAATTTCTAGAGCAGTTGAGCGGCTTTTGAAGCTTAACAGGCCTTTGAAGTAGTTTAACACTGCTCTTTTTCTTCATTCGAAAGATAGCGCATTGTTATTATCTAGAATTATTGCCAACGCATGAGAAACAGTCATTGTTTCTTTTGCGAACTCCTATGGAATTCTGATCGAAAATAGAGAGGATGTCGGATTTTGGAATCGTGTTGTAAGCTGCTGTTAGAGTCTGCGATTCGTCAGATCACAAGTGCCCGATCAATACTGCAAGGTGCTCTCCAATCCCGCCGCCATTTCTGCTTGATGGTGATGGCTGAATGACGACTGTTCATGATTCTACTTGTTTCATATTCAGTGTTTCAAATGTTCAAATGGGGCACTTGCGATTTTTGCGATTCGCGCGAAACCGCGACGGATCGCGGACTCTGACACCAGCCTTAGCTTATATAATAGTTCTCCCGAGAAAATGAGAGAGGCGCAGATGGTCATCTGCGGTAAGAAGTCTTCTTTATAAAACGAAAATAAAGGAGCACTCTGTCTAGAGTTTCAAGAGTGTCCTAAATTTCTTGCGGTTGAGCGGTCAGAAAAGGTAAACTTTCCTTTTCATCCTGGGGCCGGGTGCAGCAAGCCCCGACGAGGGGATGGGTACCCATCCCCTCTCCCCAAGGTTGGGGATACATCCCCAAGGTTGGGGATACATCCCCTCAGCGGGTGAGGGGATATGTCCCCGAGGTTGGGGATACATCCCCAAGGTTGGGGATGTATCCCCTCACCCGACACTCAGCAAGAGACCGCTCAAGGGTTTCGTTACAGGTACCCAAGATTGGTCAACCTGTATGCTTAATGGCGCGGCAAGTTTCGAGCCTCCTTTAAGAGTTTTCTTTGCAATAAATGTACATCTTCCACAAATTATGGATTCAGCTAATATTTTTTAATTCGCAAAACGTAAAAAAAAACATTCTTACCGCCATAGCCGCTGTCATGTTCGCTCGTAGAGCTGCGCTGGTGATCACGACCAAATCGCTAAATTGTATGTATGCAAAACCTCGACGAACGAGCGCACGGCGGCGGCGCACGAGATCAGGCGCTGCAGTGAAGTCTACCTGAAATCACAACTAAAGTGAAATCACATATATTGCTCTGAACATCATGGGCGACAACGGCTGACATACCTTCCAAAAGTTTGTGTTGCAAGCTTGTTCGATGCTGATGCCACAACCAGCGGCTAATTCAGCCATTAGTTCCTCTTTTTCAGAATTCTCTACCTGAAGAGGTTTACGCCCTTAAATACCAATATTCAATAGCTTTAGTGACCATTTTTACTCACCACATCCAGATTGACATTATTTTCTTTGAGAAATGCGATTATGCCATTTGGAGACTCACTCGCAAAACGAAACCTGAAAGTAAGAGAGTGCAGGTAAGAGTGTTTTCGATATGTATCATCGATATCTAGCTAGCTGTTACCTGAAAAGGTCCACTTCTTGGGTGACAAGCCACTTCGTGGATTCCGGAGAGCGGCAGAAGGCAAGTCGAAGGATAAAGTGACCAATTACATCTTCTCTGCGAGCTTTCTCAACATCAGCAGGGGGACATGACCCTTTAGCAAGTAACTTTTATATCAATTAGCATACACAG